GATTGAGGGAATAAAAACAAAAAAAGAAAATTACAATTATTTACTGAGGGAATAAGTTTCTTTTTTTTTCTTTTTTTTTCTTTTTTTTTTTTTTTGTTCAATAAAAAATCTAGTAAAGGATAATAAACTCTTCCCAATTCATAGAAATATTATTTGAATGGAGAATAATGAGTAGAAAAATTGGAAAGAGAGCACCATTGACAAGCTTTGAAGATGGCTAAATCAAATCAATCCCTCCAACCAGCATATGTGCAGGAAGAGAAAACAAGGTGGCCATGACATTCACCATCTTCAGCAAACAATAAACGCAATGAAAGCTCTAAAACAGAGGAGAGTTTCTTTAGAAGAACTTCAGCTGTATTAAAGCCTCAATGAAGCAGAATCAAGCATAGAACGTTGACTTGGACATTTAGACTTCCAAATGGATCAAAACTCCTCTTTTGGTAAAGGAGAGGAATATGACAAGTGGTTTGTCGTGAGCAATTTTCCAGCAGCATTGAACATCAATCTTTTTTGACAAAGAGACCGCTTCCAAATTGGCCAACAAAATGCTAAACACATCGAATTCAACCAAAATAAGGTCTATTGATAATTCATCTTCTCTTGGGGGGGGCGGGGTAGAAACCGAGCTTTCATTGAAAAAAAAGAAAAAAAACTTAGGAAAATAAAGGCATAAAAATAATTTTTTTAAAAAATAACAAAAGATAGAGTCTGACATTAACTACAAAAAATGACACTAATCCAAAAGAACAATGCCCAGATCATAGTTACAAAACATTCTAGAGACCAAGGCTCATAAGAATGCATACCCTAAACCTAGCCACCTCCCAAAATTCCCCACCCAAATACCCCCATAAAATTGAAAAGAAACAAAAAAAGAACTCGCTTGTCAAAGCACCTGGTCCATCTCTTTAAAGGAAGGTTTTAAAGTATCTCCTCCACCATAGGCCTCCCCTCTCTATATGCGAGCCTCACACACCCCAAAAGAGCTTTTCAATCAAACCCAAAAATAAAGAATAAACTAGCAATCCATGACAGTTGATCTGCATCATTATAGAAACAACACACAGAAAAAATGTCTTTGGATGCGATCTATGATGTTAACTCTCCTATGTAAAACCTACCACACAAAAACCTTAACCTTCCATGAAATTTTAGATTTCCGAAGTGAGGAGAAAATAGAAAAATCTTAGGCATACAGAGGGGAGAATGGGTAGACAAGATATGGAAAAAGGAATGGCATAAAAAGCCCCTCAAAGGATCAAGAGTCCATGTCCAAAATCTAACATCCCTTCTCCCACGGCTCACTAGTTGGTCACAAAGAAAAGAAAAAATACCGATCACAATCAATCGTCTCTCTGTCCGACAGAGGACTAAGTAAGTCTATGGAAATCCTAGAGAAGGATCTGAGGAAGGCAACAACAAGGGCACCAAATGCAACCTCTTATTTAAAGAATTTTTTTTTTAATGCAAAAATCAAACTTTCATTGAGAAAAAGTGAAGGAAAAAAAAACAGACATACAAAAAAGAGAAGCCCATAGAGAGGAGAGTCAACTACAAGAAGAGACTTCAATCAAGTAAAAATATGACAGCAAATAATTAAAAAAAAATATGGACACGAGGCCCAAAGAGAAACAAAGAATCTATCAAGGGACCAAACATCACTACAAGAAATCTATCTGTTGAAGATTCTATTCTTTTTTTTTTTTTTTTCCCTCCCCACATACTCCACAAAATAGCACACAAACCAGCCCGCGACAAAATCCCCGAAAAGATAGATGGAGTAGAAACTTCTTGATCGGCTCCCTTCAACCCTAAGAACTAGTGAATATGTAGACATACATCTCAAAGAACCCATGCCAAACGGCCTGGGAAAAATCACAACTCTAAAGAATATGGTCAAGGTCCTCAACTACCTTATTGAGAAGAATATAACAATGTGGCCTGACCAAAAAGGACCATCTGGCCAAGAGCCTATCTAAGGTGTTCACCCTTCTATGCAGAACTTGCCACACAAGGAACTTACCTTCTTGGAAATTTTCACCTTCTATACCGAGGGAAAAACCGAACTACTAGCTAGGGAAGGATTAGACAAGAAATGGAACAAGGCACTGCAAGAGAAGCCTTTCGGAGGACAAGGAATCCAAAGGTGAACATCCCCCAATCAGACTGAAACCTAATTTCGCCAAGCAAAGATAATAAAAGCATGACATTTTTTGTTTCCTATCAGTCAACGGACAACTGAAACACAGAGAAGGAGGAGGTTGAGACTCCGATCGATGCTACCAAAAGACCCGATGAAGATAATGGCTTATCAAACCGCTCTAAATGAAAGGTCAATGATATAATGAATATATGTATATTTTCAAAGAAAGGAATCTTTACTTGTTAAAATCAAATTTTAAATTTTTCAACTTTTTCAAAAATGAAATTTATAAAAGTTAGATTCTTCCTGGCTGAAAAACTAAATCCAGTGTCGAAGCTATTAAGTTTAAGCAAAACAAAAGGCTGACACAAGATAAGGGGAAAAGATGTTTCAGCAATGCGAAACTGGATTGGTATTAAAATCAAAGTCAGACTACTAACCTTGCGTTTAAGAATCTGAGCAGCAAAGAACTCGACTTCCAAATCAGGGACAAAGGAGGACAGCGGAAGTTGAACATGATCAGAGGTAAGGATAGCAGTGGCAACTTCCCAAGCAGCACCAGTCTGTTGAAACTGGACTAACCATTGATTTGCTGCCACGCGATTGCAAGATTGGGTATCATGATTTAGGACGTGAACTGCTTGAGAGACTTTCATTCGCAATTCCATTTCTTTCACACCTACGTAGTTTATCTCTGTTTTCAGTATTCTCAGAAGAAACTAGCAATTGACGCGGACACAACATAACAATCACCCAAGAACGCCGACTGCCACCACAGAAACACTTTCAGGAAAATCCATGCCTTTGCCTAGTCTCAAACTGTGTCCTTGGCTGCATTTTAAACTTCAGCAGACTACGCCCAAGCGTCTGGCCTAGTCCACAGAGGCTTACAACTTTTACAACCCTAGAAATAAATAAATAGACGAACATATCAATAAACCAAACCAAACCAAACCAAATTTCACGTAAGCGTTCCACCAGTTCCGATAACCGAAAGTTAATTAACCCAAATCATCACAAATTAAACCAATCAACAAAATCCATACGATGCAATCCTATCATCTCCCATTGCCCAGAGTTCGATCTCATGGCCGCATCCAATCATGCCGGTAAAGTTTTCACAAAACCAAACAAATCAAAGAATTGTATTCGGATAAAAGTAAACAGCCAGGGAGATGGCAAAACCTTTGCTCAGTATTTATATTTACGAAAACGCATTTAGTCGAATGAGTAGATTGTATACCAAGAATGTGACGAACATAAAATAGACAATCATCACAAAAGAAACAAACAAGTATGAAATTATCTCACTTGATAGACTTCAACCAATGCTTGGCCAGAATCGGATGGTGATTTGTTTTCTATTCTCGAATTACTTCAATTCTCCTCGATTCAAGCAGTGAATGCGTTGTTGATGAGGTGTGGAGCAGGTGTGTGGGTACTACGGCTGGCGGACAGAGGCAAGGACCTCCATTGGCCGACTGGAATGGTGGCGTTGGAGTTGGTCGACCGGCCAGTGAAGGACACGAGGAAGAAGGTAGAGGTGGTCGATCTAAATTTGGGGAGATAGTAAAAAATAAAAAATGGAGGAAAATAGCCTTCGCGTCTCATAAAAATCTGAAAACCTAAGCGGACGGAAATGCTATTATACAAACAAACCTTCCAATTTTGTCCTCCAACCTTTTTTAGGAAAAAATAAAATAAAATAAAAAAATCAATATAATTTCTATTTTTTACATTAAATTTTTATTTTCAAAATTTCAAAATGTTATAATTTTTAGATTTTACACTCCTACCAGTGCTTGATTAGTTAAAAATAATTATGAGGTGGATTTTAAAATAATTTTAATATAGCAATGAAAATTAATTTAATTGTTTTATATTAATTAATATAAAATTACCACAAATGGCTAAAAAGTTAAAAGATAAAAGGGTAAAATTCTAAATTTTATGAGTTAGATGGAAATGTTATGAAAGTCCCCAATCCACTCATTTAGGGAATGTTTATGAGTTTATAATCAAATAATACTCTATTTCCAAAGCAAACTTATGCTTAGACAGTATCATACCATTGTGGAGAGTGCTCTTCGAAACTAAACTTTAAATTCATAATTTGTAGATGTTCAACATATATTCAATTTGTTTTTATTTAAATTCACTCTAAGTCCCGTGAATTATGACGGGATATCTTCCGTTTCATCGATTTTGTTCGGATCCTCCTTTTCTTCCGAAAAAAGGGAAGGAGAAGTATCTTCTTTGGTGGATCCCTCTTGTTCTTGTTTAATCTCATCTGTTTCCTCCGTTTCTTTTAGTTTTTTAGTAAGGATGTGTGACGGTATTCTACCTAAATAGTAGACACATCAGTGGATCCCTATTGTTCCTGTTTTAGTCACCTTCGTTTCCTCCGTTTCTTTCAATTTCTTAGTAAGAATGAGTGGTGTCGTTCTGCTTTTTCAATTCCGACACAAGGTACTTATTAGATCTAATAAAATTATTTTGCTGCATCCGGACTAATGACAGGATTCTCAAACCACTAAACCTAATCCTTCCTTGACTTGGCACTAAAAATTTCATGTTTGACATGTTTAAGCTCCCTAGATAATAACATTATAAATTTTAAAACGTACTCCTTAAACTTTTTAAAGTTGCAACATTATTCTTAATATTTCATGAAAGTTTCAAATCCAAATAAAATTGTGTTATCGTGACCTAAAACCAAATTTAAACTACCACTCGTTTTATGTCACTGCCTCATTATTCAGTCCCAAATTTGGTCTAAAATTTTAAAAATTAATATAACCTTCATTTATTTTAATATTTAAATGGAATGGGATGAATTTCAATTGGCATACCATTATCACTTCAAATACTATTCAAAATCCAGTATTATTAGAGATGTCCTCGCTAGCTAGCTTTGGTAGTGTAGCAACTCGTTGTCCCTATGAAGCAACTACAGGCAAATTCTATTATTTAAGGGCCTTGCGATAAGGCCATCAGTCAACCAACCCGCCAATTCCCCATCATATTTCACATGAATGAATTCCCTCTCCACATACTCTAGAGATATCTGCAGCCTTCCCCCCGGTTGGCAGTCACTAGCCGCACTTCTTGCTTCTATTCCCGCATTTCTCTCTAGCCAGTGCAGGTAATTCACATGAAACAATGCCTTCAGCATGTCTTTTGGTAAAGCACTTTCTTTAAGCATCACCTGCAACCATAAGATTCCAACGAACATTTTAGTTTAATGGCGATACTCTAACACGAACCAAGTTAACAAATACTAGTCAACAGCCCAAACCCACCGCTACCAGATATTGTTTTCTTTGGGCTTTTCCTTTCGAGTTTCCCCTCAACATTTTTAAAACACGTCTGCTAGAGAGAACACTCTTACAAAGAATGCTTCATTCTCCTCCCCAACCGATGTGAAACCCGCTCTAGCAGATATTGTCTTCTTTGGGCTTTCCCTCAAGGTTTTTAAAACACGTCTACTAGGGAGAAGTTTCCACACTCTTATAAAGAATGCTTCGTTCTCCTCTCCAACCGATGTGGGATCTCACAATAAGGAAACGAACAGCACTTTAGTTGTTTCTGGAAGAAAGTTTCCAAGTGTTTGTTGATAGAATTAGACATCACGGATACTTCAACGAAAATAACGGTGTAAAGCTTCAAATCAAGTACTTTTGACTGGGAGAAGAAAGCTCCATACTCCACAAGAATGCACACATTGGAAATATAGTTTAGATTACTTACACAATATCTTCCCCTGTGCTCCGACAGAATGTAGTTTTCGTTTTTATACAAACTTAAAAGTTGAAGAACGTCCTCCTCACACCTCGCCACGTCACTGAGCTTAGATCCCAATTGCAGTCGCCTTTCAATATTAGCTGCTGATTCCTTTGCTTCAGTAGATAGTAAACCCACTTTTGGCTCCTTGTTAGAACAAGAAAATTACAAAAGTCAGTTAATCGATTGAAATATGAACAGCTAGAGGCATCTATCCAACATTGAGCCAAACAAAAAAATACTGTTCCAACATGCAGAAAAATATGAATGGTTAATTCTTAGAACTAACTACTTCATAGCAACAGACATAGCACCATCATCCAGCTTGGCTGTGCTGATCAGACTTCAAAAACTGCCGAGTACGAACATTTGCAACTAATAGAAAAAGGTAATCCCATTGATTGTCACTTTGCCTTCCCAAGGACTACAAGACTCGAAACGTTTCTTCCAGGAAAAGGCCAAACAAAAACTTTAGAATCATGGAAGCTATAGCTATAAACTTAAGCAAAAAATTTAAAACTCATTTGACAATAAGGATCATAATTCTGAACTTCAAAGCTCCAACTCCTAAATCTCTATCCCTTGGTGATTTTCAAACTAAAATTCATCTAACCAAAAATTTGAAACCTCCCTCTTGGTTTATTCAAGCCGCTTCTTAAATGAAAAGGGGAGTTTATCTCAACTGAAAACCACAAATTTCAACGAAGATGAAAATTTGGTAGGTTCTGAATGTGGAATAGAATGAAGAGCTAATGTTCACAATCCTAGAAAATTAATAAATAAAGCTTCATCGAGCATATCATCTGTAAGTCGTTACACCACGGTTGCAATCACGTTCCAAGCTGCTCAAACTGACTTCAGAATCCACATCAAATTCATCCACACATCGGAAGAGAATAAGATCAAGCGGAAGAAGGGTCTTTAGTTGAAAGAGAAACTTCTTTGATTAAAGCTGACCTCAAACCAACAGGAGGAAATTCATTATCCAACATTGCTTTCATTGCATTTGCATATTGATAAAATGGACACAGTTCACATTTGAAAAGAAAAATTAAGAAGTAATAAAATGATAAATAACATTAGAAAAGAAAGTCACTCACATCACAAGCAAGCCTTGCATTAAGAAATGGTACAGCAGGAAACAGAGGTTCTTCATCGTTCACATTTTTAATAGAAGGCACTTCACCACTCAAAAGATACTCACTGAAGACCAAACCTGTTGAACATTTAAGGTAAGTTTACCACTAAAAGATAAGGTTCACATTTCAAAATTTCAAAAAATAATGTTTGGTAGTGGTTTTGGGAGGAGGAGAGAAATGAGGGTGTTTCTGTTTGTTTCAAAATGTTCCCTCAAGAAATGCAAGGGTGTTGGTGCAGTAGGGATTAATTAACATACTACCTAGCAAGCCAATAACCATAATATACTGTGATAGTAAGAATGTAATAAACCAGTACATATGCATCTCATCAGCCCTAAATTCCAAACACTACCATTTAAATCAGCTGTATGTGGTGTCAATATCGACTCCTCAATGGTTTCTTCAGTGTCTGCAAAGCTTAATGTTAAGGCAGACACTTGACCCTTTCTAGATTTGGGTCTTCCTCTTGAAGGTCATTCAAAGCATACTACTTTTAGGTCATCCATTATGGAGAAAATTATGAAGAAATTGGATCATTGGAAATGTTTCCAACTGTCATGGGGAGGTAGGCTTACTCTTTGTAGTTCAATGTTGTCTGGTATTCCTTTATATTACATGGCCCTCTTCCTTAGGCCATCAAATATCTTTTTAGAGCTTGAAAGAACAATTTGAAACTTCTTCTGGGAAGAAACAATGGTGGTAAAATCAATCATCTTGTTGGATGGAACTTGGCTTCTAAATTCCTTATAGATGGAGGATTAGGAATTGGTAGATTGAAAATCCGGAATATTGCTTCATTGGCAAAATGGGGTTAGCATTTTGGGAATGAACACAATACTCTTTGGAGAAAGGTGGTGGTCCATTTTCATGTCTGGACAAATTTGGATGGCAATCTGGCTGCAACAAAAATTTCAGTCTTAGAAATCCTTGGTTGAGTATTCTCAAAATTAGGAAATCAGAAGAGGCCAATTTTAGTCTCGGCAATGGTACAAGGATTTCTTTTATATCAGATGTTTGGCTGGAGGGATCCCCTCTGAAATTCCGGTTCCCCAATCTGTTTAACATTTCAGTTTTGCCTTTTGGTTCAGTTGCAGATTCTACAGTTCTAATTACTTATCTTGGTCAATGCCCTCCAGATCTTTGAAGGATGAGAAAGCTATTTAGTTTTCTTCCCCCCTTTTCAGCTTTGAATTTGGATTTGGATTGTCCTAAAAGATTCACGGTTAATCCTCTCTCAAGACATTCGGCTTCTTCCTCCCCAATTCACAAGTTGGCTTTCCCAGCTTGATGGAAATCCAAATGCCCTAAGAAGTTTAATATTTTAATTTGGATCTTGATCAATAATCAACTGGATTCCTCGGAAGTATTACAACGAAAGATCCCTTCATCCACCTTAATGCCTTCTTGCTGCCCTCTATGTTGCTCAAATTCAGAAAGTTTGAACCATTTATTATTTGATTGCACCTTTGCCTTATCCCGTTGGCATAAACTCTTTGATATATTCAGCATTCATTGGGTCTTGCACATAGATTCTTAGTGTAATACTATACACTCACTCATTGGTCCTTGTCTTCCGTCTAAATCTTTTCTTTTGTGGGCCAATGCGATTAAAGCAGTTCTTTGAGCTTTGGTGGGAACCTAATCAAAGGATTTTTGAGAACAAGTTAAGAAATTGGTTGGTGCTTTTTGAGGCACCCAAGATAAAAGCTTCTCATTGGCGCTCTCTCCAAATCTTTTCAAGGGCTCTCTTTGCAAGGTATTTGCCTTAATTGATAAGTTTTAATCACCGCTTATCGTTATTTGAGCTTTGTCTTGTTATGTTACCTAGCTATCTAACTTTCCTCTTTCTTTATTTCTCTTTTGTTTTTTCCATTAGTGAAGTTTGTAATTTTGAGCATTGGCCTCTTTTCATTTCTTAAATAAGAAGTCCTCTTTCTCTTAAAAAAAATCAAAATCATCTCAAAAAAAAAAAAAAAAAAAAAAAAAAAAAAAAAAAAAAAAAAAAAAAAAAAAAAAAAAAAAAAAAAAANAAAAAAAAAAAAAAAAAAAAAAAAAAAAAAAAAAAAAAAAAAAAAAAAAAAAAAAAAAAAAAAAAAAAAGAAGAGAGAGATGCATATAGAAGGAAAGATAACTTACTCGCACGATAAGGATTTAATGTCCTTAGTTGAATGGACTTGTATGATTTTAGATTGCAGAACATGTGGATTAAGGTCACCACGCTAAAGCAACCAAGAGCAAGAGATGTTGAGGACCTTATACGATTAGCCAATGCAATGCCAAGCAACATACCAATAGACTTGCTCACCATTCCTTGTGCTTCACCTTTGGCAATCACCTAGCATCAATTTCTGTTTCTTTCAGCATATATGCATCGGAAGGATAGGGTAAATTTCATTCAAGATTTAAAGCAACAGTTCTTATTTTCCTCATGCGTCAGAAGTAAGAAAGAGACAGTCAATGGGCATGTACCTTAAGCTCAGCTAAAACTAGGAGATGCGTACTTTTAGGGGTGTTTGTGTGATAAAATTTAAATTACAGTTATGAAGATATATTGAAGTGAAAAGAATGTAGCAGTAATTAAAAGGCACCCACCTACAAATGAAAGATTAAATAGAATAAATTTAAGCAGGAAATCAGCAAAGGCCTTCATATATCCCCCTTTTGTCTGCACATACAAAACATAAAGATATAGAGTAGATCATCAAGCTATAAAATTATGGATATTATTTACTTCCTTATATATCTATAGATTTGTATAGTTGTAATTATTTCTTTTCTTTTTACGCATAGACTAATTTTTGTAATTTTAGGATCTATGATTGAGATCCATCTTGTATAAGTTTTACTCTTGTTACTAAGAAAATATAAGAAAAATTGATTTCATAGGTAACTCCATGGTATCAGAACTTTGAAGTAACCCTAGCCACCATCGTTGGAACCCCCTAGTTGTTGTCACCGAATTTTCCTTCTTCTAGACAAAAGCGCACCAGCATCGCCAGTCTACCATCTCATTCTTTGCACATCTCCCTTCATAGTCGTCACACCTTTTTCACAAATACTGGAAGAAGGCACTACCTTTCGTCATAGATCAAGAGTCTCTAGCAAAGTCTGTCCCTTCTCCAACAGCTGTATATTCATCTCTCTCTCACTATTCCAAAGAGTATACATCTTCATCATTATTCAACAAGCATCTCAGTCAATCCTTTTGCTCCTTACAATCATACCTCCCTGGACTATAAGCACGAACTTATACTAGGCTCTTCGAAAATGTTGTTTACTATGTCATTTCTTGGGAAGGTCTTTTGTAAGCATCATGAATGACACATCCCTTCTGTAAATTTCAAACATCAATAAAATTGTCTCTCTATTATAAAAAAAAAAAAAAAAAAAAAAAAAAAAAAAAAAAAAAAAAAAAAAAAAAA